ATACTAAATAATTATATAATACTATACTAAATCTAAACTTCGATAATATAAAAATGATCTTAGAACGTGATATAACAATTTTAATTTCAGAGTCGTCACTCGAGTGCAAAGGGTTAACACTGAATATGCTGACAATGAGTGCTAAAAGTGGCATCTTATGAAAGTTGTATGATTGCATTTACTTGCACTTTTAGTGATTTTTATTATAACATATGCTTGAATAAAAGAATTCAGTCGATCATTTTTCCATAAAGGCATCATTGTTATTTCAATAATCCTGAAATACCAAATGGAAAGCCGGTAATTCGACCGCTGATGATAGGTTTAGAGCCTTGATGCTAATAATAAGCAATTTATCTGCGAGATAGCCAGCTATTTATTTATTTTTTTGCTTGAGAAACGACATTTTTAGTCGAATAAAAGAACCAATCTTTCGCATCAATTGAGGATACATGTAATAATAATTTCATATAATAATTTCATATTATTATATTATAATATTTCGTATTATCATGTTATAATATTTCATATTATCATGTTATAATATTTCATATTATCATGTTACAATATTTCGTATTATCATATTATCATATTATTATTATAATTATTATTTCATATAATAATTTCAAATATCAATAATTTCATGACTTTCTAAGAGCGTCGTAATAGTAATCGAAACGTACAAACATCTATTATCATTCATTAATCAGATTAAATTGAATTACACATTAAGCATTTTATCGTGTAATTTACAGCGAGGAGATCGCAAACGATAAAGAAATACCAAATCGCTGCTGTGAAATAGATCAAAGAGGCAAAGAGTTAATCGTCCTCAGCCTAACGATGATTAGTAAAATGAAGGAAACGAAGCAACAGTGAACGAGATCTTTTACTCATTATTAAGTAACGAGCATTGTTACCGAGGCTAATTGTTACTCGACGAACGAACTAATGAATGATCTTCTAATCTCTTTATTACAGCTGCCAGAGTAGTATAGCATTTCTGCTCGCGATTTACAGACTCGATCGTACAAACTCGCGACGAATCTATGAATATGGAGAACGAGAAATGAGCGTAAAATACACCACAGGCCCGGGCCCCCAGAGGAAGCAAGGAGTGCGCAGCCGGGGAAGGAAGACCGTTGAAAAGATGCAGAAGTTGCAAATGAACTTTCTAACCGTTCCATTCATCCGCCGTTACCGTGAGAAACACGTTATTGCGCGTAGACAGAAGAAGGATCGGCACCGAGAGGAGACTCTCATTTTTCTGTTCATTCGAATGCAGGCTGCGGGGCCCGCGGTTAACGGACTCGTTATCTTTACGTGATCGGCAGAGGAGAGTTTCGAAACGCGGCGCTCGCGTGGAAACCGACAACGGAGAAAAACGCGTAATCCTCGGGGCGCCCGAACTTTGGTGGGGAAGGGAGGGGGGCAACTTTTACGGTGCACAGAAAGTAAGGCGGCTTAATGTTAATTTTTCTCAGGGTCTGTTGCAGCTATCGAGATGAAATTTTGGTGCATTTAGGTCGCTTTTTAGGTGTATTTTGGTAAAACGGAAGTTCGCGGTACCGATTATAAAATATAAACGTAATGCGACCCTATCGATGCGTGGACCTTTTTGCATTCTTAATGTTGAAGATTAACCATAACGATCGCTGGTTTTATGTGAACGGTGCGATAATTCTTATTGTGTAATTATTGAAATTATGAGGATGCATCCACTGGAAACATTTAATAAATTGACGACATATATTAATCCCGACGTATATTAATATCAAAATTGGAAAAGCCTAAATAAATTCGATACAGTAGTTTGCATAAGGCAACGCAGACGAGTCACTTTGAACACACACGATGACGATTTGATCAAATTTCGAAAAAGTCTTTGTTCATATATAATATATAATATTATAAATATATATAATATATAATAATATAAATATATATAATATATAATGTTATAAATATATATAATATATAATGTTATAAATATATATAATATATAATGTTATAAATATATATAATATATAATAGTATAAATATATATAATATATAATAGTATAAATATATATAATTATAGAATATTATATATATAATATTATAAATATTTATAAATATTATATAAATATATATAATAATTACATAAATATGTATAATATTTCAACTAAATCTTGGACTAAATAACTTGAACTTTTTTAGATGATAAAGGGACTAGTCTAGTAGACGTTGGCTAAAAAGCTTCCTTTTTTTAAAATTTTGTTATTACTTGCAATGAAAATAACTCTTTTATCTGAGCATATAACGAAAATTTAAAAAATGCCGGTAGATATCGGCAACTTCTACGCGTGTTAAAAATTTGAAGTTGGAGGACTTTAAAGACTACAGATTTCTTACAATTTCTGGTCAAAATCGCGATAATTCTGCGACTTTTGCGTCCTTTGATTTGTTGTAACTCGTAACAACGTAAACCGATTTCCATAAAATTTTTAAAATAAGATCTACGATATTTTTCAAATTTTCGTTATGGATAAAAAAAGTTAAAAAACGAGACATATTTACTTTTTTGTCATTCCAAGTAATAGCAAAACTTAAAAAAAAAAGCATTTCAGTCATCGTCTAGTAGACCAATCCCTCTGTCATCTAAAAAATAATTCAAGCCATTTCGCTCAGTCTTAAAATAGTTATCGCGTTTTAAAAGGTGCGCATACACTTTTGTGGGCCACTGTACATGTATTTGCAGATATTGGTTCTCTCAACTGCGTCACACACGCTTTAGTCGAAATAGTAATTAATACATCAAGTACAGTACAGTGCAAAGATTAAATTACATTTAGGTCATATTTATCTAAGAACGTGAATTTATTTAAGAATGTTATTTAAAAATTTAAGAATGAAAAGTTAAGAATTGTTCTGAACTCATTCAGATTGTCGAAATAAAAAAACGAACTCCGAACTGATCACGGCTTCTTGCAATTAGTCCAGTCAATTTTGATTTTACCCAAAGATCCGCATGATTCATAAGACGCGAATAGAAAAGAATAGAAAACTGCAGTTTCATCGCTCGCTCATTTTTCTTTCGAATACTAGACCGCGATGCGTTACGAAAAAGCGATACTACTGCGAATACCCGGCATACTTTAATTGAAAATAATAGTCGGCGCATCTTAATGCGCGCGTAAAATGCAGTTCTCGGTGAAAAGAGGGGAAGAAGCCGAGACAACGGAAAAGTTGAAAATCCCCGATCAAACAATGGAGATGGTAATCGTTCGTTATCGAGGGATCGCGGTAAATGGAGAACAGTGCGAAACCCGTGTGTAATTAACAATTAAACGGATAACTCTCCGGTATTCGTTGCGACCGGCATTCATTTGCAATCCGCGAAGGACTCGGGAGACAGTCTCGCGCGCGCCTCCTTTTCAAAGAGAGAGGCTTAATTAGCGGCCGCGGAGATATACCGTCCAAGTACTCCTCTCGTTTCCTTTTCAAATGAGCCGACATTCTTCGAGACGTTTCCGAATAAAATACAATCGTCCCATTGTCTAGTCCCACGGCTCGACTTAGAGAACTCGATTAAAGGTGTTTTCGCTATCGACGCTACGGGAAGGTCGCAACCAATCAATGAACAGAGAGCGTCCGTAAAACACTTTTTATCGTATCGAAATGTTCGCGTGTAACTCGTTAACCCTTTGCATAATGCCTCGAAGCCATTTTAATTGAAGAAACTAGAATAATTTTTCTGACTCATAGTATTTTCATTTTATACGACAAAGTGCAGTTTACGCATATGGAATCGAGTCCTGTGACTCGTGCAACGGTTACACTATTAACAATTTTTTAAATTTAAGCTTCGACGATATTAAAATTATTTTGGAACGTGATGCAAGATTTTTAGCGGTGTCTCGGGGCTACCGCACGAGTGCAGAGGGTTAATTAAAGATCGGTTCATTAATTTCACCGTGCATTCTGTTTGCTAAAACCACGGCGAACAATCGTAAATTTTGCCTTAATCGTGTTAGTTGCGCGCGAAGTCACATTTCTTTCCAGAAATAACGCGCGTTCTTCGATGAAGCGAGACACAAACCCGAGTTAACGTTTATGAGCGAACTGTGGATTTTTATGGGCCTTGCGACATGTGCAGATTTTCAAAATGAAAAATACATATAAATTAACAAGGTCTGATAGCATTTCTACTATTATTTTCACTGGCTCATACAATTTTCCGAGTTATTCCAAATAAATTTTCAGAGAATATTTCGAGGATCTATCTTAATCTTAATATTTGTATCTTCGTTAAATTCTAATATAGTTACTTTAAAAAATGTTTACTTCAGCGCACGAAAGGCGATCCTTCTTGACAAAAATATAGCCGACTACGCTTAGAGTCATTCATCGTTTTATTTATCAATTTTGTCAACGTATTGTTTAAGGTACTTCGTCTAGAAACGTCAGCATTTTTACAAAAACAATGAAACATTTGCGAATATAAACTAATCGTCGGAAATTATTGTATCACTAAAATTATTATATCACGTTCTAAGATCATTTTTATATCATCAAAGTTTAGATTGAGGAAATGATTAAAAGCGAAGCCGTTGTATGAATCACAAAACCCAATTTCATATGCACAAAATGCACTTTGTCATATGAAATGGAACCCCACTATAAGTCAAAAAGATTGTTTTAGATTTACAGTTAAAATAGCTTCGAGTGCAAAGGGTTAATACACTCAGCTTGCTCTCAGCATAGCTACCTAATTCTAATTTATGTAAAACAGCGATCGATGCTGCGAATTTGCAAAAGTAAGCAAAGAAATTGCAAAAAGAAATTGCTACTTCCGAGCAACTATCCCATCGAGACGCGATCATGCCGCAATCTTTCCAAGCCTAAATACTCCATACTTTTTAACGCACTTATCAGTTTCCACGGGGACCGCATCCGTCAATATTCAACACCATCGACAACGATAAAAAGAACAAACAAAAAAATACACAAAGACTCACCTTCGGAGCGATCGGCTATGCTCGCGCTCGCGACGACCTCCTGTAGATCAGCGTTTCCTGAAGCAAACAGAAACAGGGAACATTATACACCGTGTAATACGCCAGAAATCTGGATTCGTATAGAAGGGATCGGGTACTGGAACGTCTTAGAAACCCCCGCGATACCGAATCCAACGTAAGAAGCAGCTATAAGGTGACCAAGTTACGTCGCGTCGTCGCGAGAAATCGATCTCGGCCGTCCGTCTCTCGCAACCTTCCCCGCTCGCGTTCCCCGGAGCGATTCGATAATAAGGAAACGAAACGCGGAAACAAAGGGAGACGCGTCTGATGTACCGGCGGCCCTCGCGGGGGCAAACGACGCTCGTTTTTCGTCGGGTCGGCGCGAGAGAAGCTTCTTGGCGCCAAAACAGCGCCAGCGGCCGGGCGGCACCTACGCGTACGCGTCGCTCGATAATGAAATAACTTAATTTTCGCATCGGCAAACACATAGATCAGCCGGCTTGGCTGTAAAATATGTGACACAGACCGATGGGAAGCGTGTTAAAACCTCCGAGAACCGTGTAATCCACTTTGCCGGTCTGATCTGGGCGCACTCGTTCCCCCGGACACCCATCGCGCGTGTGCGCCCCGTCGAAACGACGATGAATAGTTAATCGCAGCCGGCTTCCGGCGAACTCCCGATTTACATAATACTACAGAGAGCGTACTTTTTTCGGCGGAGAGCACTAACTGCCTAAAAAAAGACAAAAGAGAAAAAAGAACGCCGCGCGGAGGCGAGACGATCCCGGAGGGAGGAGGGCACCCACGGCGCGGCCCGAATTCGGCGATTAGAATCCTCGCGTGTGCGTTCCATCGAACGCGAAAAGCGACGGGGCTATCTCCTGCGGCGGCCATTACACGTTTTCGAACGGATATCAGATGCGTCGGCGAACGAATGCGAACACGGCAGAGAAATTCGCGGAACGAAACACCGTGCTTGATAAATAACGGCGGGAACGCGGGACGAAAGCTGATCGATCGAGTTCCTATTCGATCGGACGCCGATAAAGACTGACCTCGCGTGTGCGGTATATTGCGGGCAGAAAGAAAAAGCGTTCCCATCGAAAGAGGACAGAACGACGCGAACGATACGCGACGGCTTCGACCGATTCCGAGATTAAGAACAATCGGCGGGGCGCGCGCCTTCGGGCGAACGGAATCGCCTTCGTGGCATCGGCGATCGAATCGATGGCGCGTTCACGCACATTTTAGCGGCGGATGAACGAGCACGAGAGTTTTAGAATCCGAGGGCTATCAGGTCGAATAAACGAGAAGACGAAAAGCCGTCGGGGAACGAGCCAGCGAAGCACAGGAGCTAAGTTAGACCCCGGCAAGGTTGAATCGTAAGTAGACAAACTCCGATTTCCTTCGTCGTCCGGGGACAAAAGGGGTCCCCGCGGCATTCCGGGCCGGGAGGAGAAAAGCCGAGCGACCGTAGCGATATTCCCGTACATCCAGTCCGCGGGCCACGAAATTAGGCGAGCCGAGGAATTCGTCAGACGAACGGAGAACAATCCGGGCTAGACTCGGCGCGGAAACGCGGGCACAGCGAGGGAACAATGGGCCCGCGAGAGCGACAAAGAAAGCATAGACAAAGCCTGTGGGAAGAGGCTGGTCGAGAGAGCGAGAGAGAGAGGGGGGATTTAGTTCCGGTCGAAAGGAACGACTAACGGCCCGAAGGGGCCACGGCGGGTCACAAAGTGGATAGAAAAAGCGCAAGACAGAGAGAAAGACTTTGGTGCAGATCTACGGAAACACGCGCCGACGAGGGGGCAAAAAACACGTAGTGGCTGTGCGTTGTACAAGGGTTGCGTGAAAGAGAGGCTTACACAGGGCACCCGGGTACAGACGGACAGACAGAGAATCCAAATCCAAAGTGGCGAAGGAGAAGAGGAGTACACATCGGCGACCAAGTTCGTTCCACTTCGGCCGCGGCCAGAAACCAGGAGATGACGATGGCGCCGTCGACGACGACGACGACGACGACGACGGCGGCGACGACGACGTCGATGCCGTCGATGCCGTTGTCCACTCGAAGAGTCTCGACGTCCGTTTGTGGGTCTCGGCGGCCTCGAACTGGCCTCTTATCCCCGGTATCGCCCAATCAAAAAACCGGCAGAACACCGTACGCCGATTGGTCGGGGTACGGCCACCGTGAACACTGCAATTGGTCAATCGGCCCGAGTCACCCATGGTTACCGTTTGCATCAACAACGTCTACGGTCGATATCACCACCTTGGCTACCTTTGCCGCGCGCGTTACATTTCGCCTCTCCCTCGCGGAACCCCCCTGCTAGCCCCCTCCGTACGCCACGCGATTAGCGGCTATAACCTCCAGCCGGAATTCTCGAGGGCAACCGCTTCTTCCTTTCCACCGACGATGACCCCCCTCCTCTACCGACCCTTCGAACCGCCGGCAGCGCGCACCCCTCGGCGATCGAGGGGCACCCTGCGTTCTCCTACCGTGCACCCCGAGGAGCCTTCTTCTTCTTCTTCTTCTTCGGGTATTTTGGATTGGAGAACCCTCCCTCTTAGTTCACTTTCTCGTCGGGTTGTGCAAATGGATGCTCGAGACGCGATATCTACTGTGGGATCCAACGGCTGGTCCAGGGGTTTGAATTCCATTAACCCTTTAGCTGCCAAGTATCAGCATGTCCTCTTTGAACGATTTCTTTTTTAACCATGCGTTGCACGGTGGGGTCGGATGACAATGTTTTGTCAGAATCGAAGAAGAGAGAATTTTCCATCAAGAATTTTTGATGGAAATGAGTTAAAGGGATTCCATATTTTGTTATGTTGAAGTTGAAACGTTGCGAAATAAGGAACAAACAGCGATCTACGTTTGAAAGTTGATGTTGAACTTCGAATAGTCCAACAAAATTGTGGTTTATCCGATACCGTGTACAGTTGGACTATTTTTTTATTGTGAAATAAGGAACAAACAGCGATCTAAATTTGAAAACTGATGTTGAACTTCGAATAGTCCAACAAAATTGTGGTTTATACGACACCGTGTACAGTTGGACTATTTTTTTAACGACATTTTATGCATTGTTTCTCGTAGATTTCGACGAGCTGATTTCAAATTCGGCTGCTACATTTATCTACCGCTTCGGGATTGTGAAAAAGAATCGGCGGATTAGCAAATCATTTCGAAGAAATCACGATTCTTAGTTAGTCTTTCCATTTAAATCGATTTTTTATAATTAATTTAGATTAACTTTAAGTTCGATGCTCTGGTAAAGGGGGTTCACAATAGTCGACTATTGTTTGTAATTACAGCACTGTAATATTAGCTGTAACGAGCTCAATTAAAGTCGAATTATATACAAAACGATTTATTAAAGAAATCAGTGAAGATAACATTTGGCACTTGAACTAAATAACTGTACCATTATCTGAACATCGACGATGAATGAACTGAAATGAACGAATAACCGAACGTGGCTGTACTGTAATGCGAAATTCGTGGAAGTTTTTGGCGATCGCGTGAACTCGAGACCGAAAAAACGTTTACGAACCTTTCACCGATGACACTGTTTCACAGATTTTAAAAAAAGATGCATCAAGAAAAACTCGCGATAAATTTAACCCTTTGCACTGGAGATTATTTTAACCCTTTGCACCCGAAGCTACTTTAACTCTAAATATAAAATCCATTTTTCTAACCTATAGAATTTCTATTTTATGCGACAAAATGCATTTTATGCGCGTGAAATTGACTCTTCGGATTTTCGCACAACAGTTGCACTCAATCTTGTAAATCTAAACTTCGTTAATGTCAAAATTATCTTGAAGCGTGATATAACAAATTTCAGCGGTGCCTCAGAGTCACCACTCGGGTGCAAAGGGTTAAAATACATATATTTATGCCGTCGTAGTATCGTAGCTGGTACCGAGACGAATTCAATGACCATTATTATACCACGTCCTTGGACATTGCGACAACGCTAAAACAATGTTGAATACGACAAACGATTTTGCCAGGTCACGGTGCAATGAAAAAAATCTCCTACGAACGTGTAAAACCCGACGGTTTACTCGCGCGCCGACCTAGCACCCGTTCGCCGATTTTCCGCGAAGGGTGGCCCCGCGCCAGTAATTCCATTTGGTATCAAATTGTTTCAATTTGATACACGTGAAATTGGTATGTGCGCGCTTATAAAAGACTTCTATTATTTGACAATTTAATCGCATACAAATTTAATAACGTGAAAATTCGTTTGAAAATGGTGTAGCAATTTTTAGCGTCGCCTCAGAGTCGCCGCTCGAGTGCAAAGGGTTAAGGTAGCGGTACGAGGTAATTCAGAGTTCGCGCGTTTTCTTCAAGCAGATGGCTCGAAATGTGAAACCATTTTCCTAAATTCCGGAAATCGACGAAGTTATAACGATATATATATATGTACGATATGACACAAACTTAAATCGCGTTTCTCGCGGAACACCGTTTTGTGTACTCGCGCTGTCGCGTCATCCCAAACTCCACTCAACTTCGAACTTCCTATATGCTTTCGGTACACCTGACTCCGGATGGTAATACGCTAAGTGGAAACAATTTTTCTACCAAGCTCGCGATCCGCGCGAAAGATTCATTTCTTATTAAATTAAGTTCCAATCTTTCTCAGCCAAGTAGAACTGTTGTCATTCGCGCGCACACTTTTCTCTCGATTTATGTCCTTAATCGCTTCAGAAAAATTCAATCTTCTAATTCCGTATTAACACCCGAACCGGGCGGAGCCATGAGTCCGTTTCGACTCGGACTATAAATATTGTTACGTCTCCGAGCATTATAACTCAAACTGGTAACCCAGACTCTGAGAATTCATCGAAGTTTCCACGTGTTTCATATTAACCCTTTGCACTCGAGCGGGGCGAGTTTGAGGCGCCATTAAAAATTGTTATACCATTTTTCATTGAATAATCGTAACGGTATCGGATTTGTTGTATTTAAAAAACTGTTAAAATTGCAATTATTATACTCGGCTTATTAAATAATAAAAACGTGGAAAGTTGAACATTCACCACACAATGAGATAGAAATGTATTAACACTAAAATTACCAAACCAATAAAAATGATTTCCGATTTTTTCCTTCACAATTCACTGACGCTGTAAAAAAATTTCTGTCAGAAATTTTTATACGAATTTCTTCATTCAAGCATACATTGTAATAAAAATCGTAGGAAGTTTAATTAACCCTTTGCACTCGAGCGGCGAGTCTGAGGCGCAACTAAAAATTGTTATATCATTTTTCATTGAATAATCGTAACAGTATCGGATTTGTTGTATTTAAAAAACTGTTAAAATTGCAATTATTGTACTTGCCAATAGGCAGAATTTCAGATCCATAAACTGCACCGGATCGTGTAAAATAAAAATACTGCAGATCAGAAAGCATCTTTTGGATTTCGAATTAAAACAGCTCCGACTGCAAAGTTTATATTAATACAACAAATTTAATATTTTTCCTTTATGTGATAATTGTTAAAGCAATCGTATAAATAATTATTGACTCTTTGCGCTCGAGTGGTGACTCTGGGGCACCGTTAAGATTTGTTATATCACATTCTAAGATCATTTTCATATTAACAAAGTTCAGATTTTAAAAATTGTTAAGAGCGTAATTGCTGTGCGAGTCACAAGAGTCAATTTCACATACATAAAATGCGCTTTGTCATGTAAAATAAAAATACCATAAGTCAGAAAAATTATTTCAGATTTACAATTAAAATAGCTTCGAGTGCAAAGGGTTAAAACCCTAAAAAATGTTTATATCACATTCGAAAACAATTCTTGCATCAAAAGGAAATTAAGATTTGAAAATTCGTTAAAAATATAAACTGTTGTATAAGTCACAAGACTAAATTTCGCACGCATAAGTCAGAAAAATCACATGTTAGAGATTCACAGTTTTAAAATGGCTTCGAGTGCAAAGGGTTACGGTCCATAAAGAACTTAAACGTCTCTAGAGGAAATAGATTGCTAAATAAAATTAATTGCTAAACACAATGATAAACGGTTCAGAGCATTCTTAATCACGTTTCTGATCGAGAAATGTCCACCGTGCGAGCGTTCAATAAAAAAATCTCTTAGCTACGCTAAGCTAGGCTAGCCAACAGAAACACCCGCGGCCGTTCGTATTTATCCGACTCATTTATACGATAAACTGAACGATTCCGGTAATACGGATACAGCGATATAGCGTCTCCGACGATCCTAATAGCAGGAGGTTAGGAGGATCAGCATCAAATGTAATAGCAGCGCGATGGAATCTCCGAAGAGGACGTTACCGCGAATGCAAATAAAACGGAGGAACGCGGTCGCGCGGAGAGAAAGAAGCAGATAGAGAGATAGAGAGAGAGAAAAAGAGAGAGAGAAAGAGAGAGAGAGAAAGAGAGAGAGAGAAAATGGTCTTGAAGATCGATGAACATTGGACAGGCGCATTGATATTCACTTGTGATCGCGTGATAAATTATCTGCTGCCGGTGGTCGGCTGAATCCATGACCATGAACCAACACCGACGATCTATACCCAAGCCCCGGCTATTCTAGTCTCCTCCGAGCCGATCTTATGGTATCGAGTTTTCGCCATTCGACGGGCTGAAGTTACCGAAAGTCCCCGGGGACCATTTGTCAGGGAGCGCGCGAGCGCGTTTATTCCGCGTCGCATCCAAATCCGCTGCGAAACTAACGACGAGGCATGTTACCTCGCGGTCCTCCTCGCATTATCCGCGATCGTTCTCCCGTAAGCTCGAAATACGATTGCACCGCCGCTTCATCGATCGAAATCGCCGACGCGTCGAGATTTCGTATTTCATCGAATCTTCGGATAAACGCGTCGACCGCGGATTTTTATGCCGAAGAAAAATCTGGATCTTTATATAAATGGATTCGCTGTTTCGTAGTTTATGCGCCTAATTTTGTCGCAAACGCGGGGAAACCCGTGATCTAAAGATAATAATAATAATCATAATAATAAGGTTGATTGTTTTAGAAATAAGCTTAAGTAACCTTTTGTTATGCGATACAGAAATGCAATAATCATCGAATAGAGCGCGA